CTCATGCTGAATTATTGTGTGGAGGTGTTTACTGATATGTCGCAGATATGGGACAATGCTGTGACCAAAGTGCAATATAGTAATATGACATTCAGGAACGATCCGATTCTTCTGGACGGATCTTGACTTAGTCCTATAGGACTGAAACCTCACTGAGAGCCATTCTTTGTTCTTGTAATGCTCTGCGTACACTGCAGTAGCTATTTTATTTCATTAAAATATATTTATATTTATTTAATTGGCAAATAAATAAAACAAGAACGTAAGAATACAGAGCATGCTCATTGCTCTTTGTTTTCGTCACCTGTCATGATGTATTCTCTATCCACATGATGCATAGAATCACATATCTAAGTCTAAACTATGTTACATAGAGTAAACAATAAAAACATTCTTTATCTGTGGCATTGTTCATTAAAATGGCACATTTCTGATGTATTAAAATTAAATACGATCGGTACACTTAATATTATTAGTGATTAGGTAATGCATTCAGCAAGTACTTTTACTTTTAATACTTAAGTATTTTTAAAAGCCAGTACTTTTTTACTTTTACTTAAGTAAAATGTTAATGTAGTACTTTTACTTGAGTACATTTTTGTCTGTGTTTTTGTACTTTTACTTAAGTACATTTTTTGAGTACTTTCTCCACCAATGCCTGTAGGCTACCGATGTTGTTGTCTATATCCAGCTACATACATTAATTTTGCCCCCTCCGCTCCCATCCACACACGTTGTTCAACCAGACAGCTATTTGTAATCCAATTCGGGGTGGGGGGGGTGGGGGGCAGGAGAAAAAGTTTGGGAACCACTGCCATACACTATCATATGCGGAGAGAGGTCATGGAAATGAGCATACAACTCACTCAGGGTGCAGTTTCATGTACTCAAATGTAAATGCTAAAAACTAGACCAGTGCTCTACTACTCTGAAAGTGGATCATTCTTGAAGAACTGGCTGTATAGATGAACTGTTGGAGTCTACATTTTCACCTTAAACATCTTAAAGTAAATTTTTGTGACAAATAAAGTGGTTTAATTAGGTTGCTACTGCTGGTGGCCCAAAGCATTGTGGGATACCTTGCTGGTCAATCCCCACTGTCACATACAAACCAATTGCTTCACACAGTCAGTTATTGCAACATATAAAAGCTAATGAAGTTATGTTGTGCAAGTTAAGCATTGCAAACCTACAATAACTCAATACATTTTGCTTAGCTGTTCATAAACTAAATGGCAAAAATACATCTTGACATTTCATGGAAATAAATTATTTGTTCTAGACTTTTCTATGGTAAACAATATTCTGAGGTATTACTCTGATCAGATTTACGTTTTCTGCCTACATCACCAACAAAAGCATTATTTTGTTAATCCACATACATAAAAAAACATGGGTATTAAAATAGAGCATATTTTATTTTTCAACACAGAAATCAGTTGTACAAATGTTCAAAACCTTTCCCTTCAGTTTGCAGGTTTGCTTGAACAGAAATGGACTAATGTATGGGGATGTCCTGAACATGTACAGTCCAAAACCCTCACTACTTTCAAATACTTAACTTTTTGCATTGACTTAATTTAAATAGATTACAAAATCAAGCATTTTTTATTGAAAACTTCACACCATACTATGTGAAATAAAATTATGATGATGCTTGTTTTATGGAACTGTTTTTTGTTTAAATTACTATTTAAAATTATGTTTTATGCTGAACTTAAGTGGATTTTATTGTATTTACATAATAAGATATGCTAAAAAAAACTAGGTAAGCAAGTTTATCAATTGTAAATTTGTCATTCTAAATCTAAAATGTATTTATGCAAATAATGTTCATATTATGCAATACTTGCTTTCTGTATTGCATCATTGTACCAACTGGGCAAACCTATCTTAGTTGCACATGACACTTTTCACAGCAGCATAGAGACAAGAACAGTCTACTGTAGATTATAAAATGTCACAAGCATTCTAAGCAAAGATTTTGTGTTATTGCTTTTATTATTTCTGGTATTTTTCTGGACACCCAATTGGCATGAAGATGCAATACGGAAATCAACTAGGGACAATATTCATTTGCATAAATAACTATTAGATTTAGAATGTCAGATTTACTTTTGATTAACTCACTTAGCTTGAGTTGTTTCAACATATCTTGTTGTTATGCAAGTACAATAAAACTTGCTTATGTTCAGCATAAAAATTTTACATAGTAATTTGAACATAAATAAAACGGTTACATAAAGCAAGCAATGTCAGAATTAATTTCATTTCTTAGAGTAATCAACATAGTACTAAGAAGAAGTGACTAAAGCTAGTACAAAACAGTAAAGTAACTTAATTGAAGCCACCAAAAATGATACATTTTGCAGACTGAAACCAACATTTGAATGAATGAATATACTTTGTTAATCTCAGAGTGAAAATCACAATCAAGACACAGTAATATACTTCCAAATGGAACAAAGGTCAATGCCAAAACAATTAGAGAATAATATTCTTTAACATTTGAAAATAATTTCCTAACAGTAAATGACAGCAGCACACAACTTAGAATCATCAATAACCAGTTGTAATATTACAGCAATGTGTTAAGGAATAGGAATTCATGACTGATATCATGCTTTGATTATTTCAAGCAATAATTTGCAGCTATGTCTCTTTAGATAGTCTATGGTGTTCTCTGTTATTGGTTTGATTTATTTGTTAGCTTTTAATCGTCTGTAATGCTGTATGTTTCTTTTCAGCTTGTTTGAGCACTGAAAATATTGTACAATGAATTACTCAAAAATAATTTACTAAAAAAAATAAAAACAGCTGCTAATGCAAGTCAGTAATCGGAACATGGTATCTACTGGTAATTTGATTCTGAACTGGTAACTGATAATTGAACCAGCATTTCCACTGTCAAAGCAAGGATGTGGCAAAATTCCTTAGCCTGAAACAAACATCAAAAATAGGTTAGTCATAAATGAACAAATAATTTGACTATTGTCAAATGCTAGTCTGCATGATTCTTTACAATTTATCATCAACAATTAATTAGTTTCTCAAGAAATTCAACATGATTTAGTGTTTTGTCAGTTATACAGTTTTTAAAACTAGCATACTAAATTTATGCTCAATAGTTTTAATTTTCTTCCTAAAAATATTGCCTTTACCCAGCATATCACACAAAGAAAATGATGATTATGATGATGATGATGATGATGATTATGATGATGATGATGATGATGATGATGATGATTATTATTATTATTATTATTATTATTATTATTATTATTATTATTATTATTGCCATTTAGTGGTTAATAATTCAAACTACATGTGAATAACAATGGAAGAAGTGGAGTAACATATATTTCTAATACATATTGCAAATGGAGAAAGCATTTAACAGAACTGTTGTGTGAATTTAATCATAACTTCACTAGTTAGCAGTGACACAAACCAAACTCACCAAAAGACTAAAGTCACGAAAGTTGAATATAATACAAGTAAAGTACAAAATTATTAAGAAAATATATATCTTTAAAAAAGTCGTATTTAAAAGAAGATCTAAAATAGTTTTTACCTGCTGGAGATGAATCAGGATTTTTTGGGGTTTAACAGCATTGCCATACTGAATCTCTACTCCTGGAACTTTGCCTGCTTTCTTCGGGCGGATTGTGCGCATAGCCTGGACTTGTGCAAGGGCAATCTGAAACACTAGAACCTGCGAGACAAAGATGATCAGAGAGAAAAGTAGAATTGAATACTGACTGTTTGTGAGTCAGAGGTTAATCTAAAAAAAATTAATAAAACAAAACTGAAATGGTAACATCAGAGGAACAAGAGCACCAAGATGTGATATAAATTGTAATAGTACATTTTTAAAACTTTGAATATTGTGTAAACGTGCAATATTTCTTGCCAGTCATCACAGAAAGTGAAGCTCATTATATAGAATCATCACACACAGAGTGATATATTCCAAGCCTTTGTTTCTTGTAACTTTGATGCCTTACAGATAGAAAAAACTCAAAATTCATTGTTTCAGAAAATTTGAATACTTTTGAAAAAGGTCACTATTGGGAACTCATGGTGTCACACTATAATTAATGAACTCAAAACACCTGCTTAGATTTCCTGAGTATTTGAGCGGTCTCACGCTGGCTCCAGGCTACAGGAAGACTGCTGACTGGACAGATGTCCAGAAGACAGTCATTAACACAAAATGTCATTGGTGAAGAAGCTGGTTGTTCACAGAAAACGGTGTGGAAGGAAGAAGTGTAGTGGGAAAAGGTACAAAAGCAAAGGGGAGAACCATGGTCTTGAGATGATTGTCAAGTGAAATCCATTCCAGAAGAGTCACCACACACACAGATTAATTCTAGACATGGACTACAATTTTCACAATCCCAATGTGAAGCAATCTTGAACCACAGACAACATCAGAGGAGCCTTCTTCTTTTTAATTCTTACAACAACAGTTGTTGTTTTTAGACTGGAAGTTCTGAAAAAGGATCTCCTTACTCAACCACTTGATCTGAACTAGTCCATGCATTTGTTACTTCAAGGCTGGACTACTGTAATTCTTTACTGTCAGGAAGTCCACAAAATACAGTTAAAAGCCTTCAGCTCATCCAAAATGCTGCAGCAAGAGTTCTGAAAATTAAAACAGAGATCATATTTCACCTATTTTTGCTTTTATTCGTTGCTTCCCTGTTAGAATTTACAGGATAGAATTTAAGACTCTCCTTCTCACAGTCCATAATAATCACCGCCATTATACAGAGATCTGATTGGCCCATATGTCCCTAACAGACTGCAAGTTTACTGCTGGTTCCTTGAGGTTCTAACAGTAAAATAGGAGGCAGATCCTTAGTGATCAGGCTCCTCTCCTGAGAAACCAGATCCCAGTTTTATTGGTTTTATCTACTTTTAAAATGAGGCTTAAAAGTTTTCTTTTTGATAAAACTTGTGTATGATACCATAGCCTTAACTGGAGAATAAACTGATCACTTTTTCTCACTTTCTTCTTTTTGTACTCCTCTCTAATTTGCATTATTTGCTGCTATTCCAACTGTTTTGTTTTCTCTCTGTTATGTTTCTCTCCATAGAAGCTACATCTGGTCTGGCATTGTGCTTGGCTGTGGTTCTTTAATGGAGGAGGACATCGACTGAGATAATATTGCCATCACCCGATCATGTGCTTCTTACTGTGATTTATTTGCACTAAAGCCTTAGAAATTACTTGGCAATCATTTCATCAGACTCAACTCAAGCGTTGAGTATGACAACTGAAGGAGGAACAGCTTATCCTGCTCTCTCTCGCCCTTACTGATATATTTGCCCTTTTAGTTATTTTATAGACACAGTGTTTATAATACTTACATTGTTGACAACTGGATTACTTCAAACCAAAGGACTGTAGGAGTTTTTTCCTCCTTTTTTCCACTTTCAAGCTGAACCAGTGAAAGATGACTCTGGCAGACATCAGGGACATCAGCAGTATTATACAAACACTTCAATCGGCTGAAATAAAGATTCATATTCTGAAGAAGAATACCGAATCCAGGTTCAACCCTACCAATGACTCAAAACAACAACCAGCTCAATATTATGCAATGACTTCAGTCAATAGAAATTAAGATTCAACAGTCGGAGGAAAATTTTGAGATAAACGCTGCATGTGGAGATGAAACAACTCTTCCTCAAAATAACGGAGAGGTTGCATGCCCTGCACCAAGCAGCTCACCCTGGAACTATCTTGGAGTTAAGCCAAAAAAAAGTCCCACACTTCAAAATTGATGAGACGACTCACCAAGATGAATCAGCGTGGCCAGCTCTGAGCTGGAAACCCACATTCAACTTCAACACCTACTCCACCAAAGAAAAACAAACAGCTGAAACAGATACAACTCCACCGACCCCACTTCCAAGGACAAACTTCGACTCCGTAAGAATCCCACTGAAAGACAGATTCACTGCACTTCAACAGGAACCTCCAAGGGAAACCTGGCCTTCAAACATCAACAAGGGGTGCTGTGGTGGTGCAGGGTTAAAGCACAACCCACATATGGAGGCTTTAGTCCTCAATGCGGAGGTTACAAGTTCAAGTCCTGGCCTAATGACCTTTGCTGCATGTTTCCCCCCTCTCTCACTACCTACTTTCCTGTCTGGGCTTCTATCAACCTATGCAGCACCACAGGCTGATTGCCTCCATGCACTAAATGTATAGAAATGTACACACCTTTCAGAATCCTGATATTTGTACTTAAAAATCAATTTTTGATCTGGTCTAATTGTGGTCAATCCCAGTCCTCGAGGGTCAGTATCCTGTAACTCTTGCATGTCTCACTGGTCCAACATATTTCAATCAAAATAGCTGAATTACTTCCTCATTGTGTAGTCAGGTTCTCCAGAGTCTTGCTACTGACCTCATTGTTTGACTCAGGTGTGTTGAAGCAGACGCTCATCTAAAAGTCTCGTCTCATCTAAAGTTGCAGGACATTGGGCTTGGAGGCCTGGAGTTGCCCACCCTGGTCTCATGTCATGGTCTAATTTTCTGAGACACTGAATTTTATTTTATTTATTTTTTTACTTGTAAATCATAATTATTAACATTTCAAAATATAAAAGCTTGAAATATTTTACACTCAGTGTAATGAATCTCTACAAAATGACCGTTTCATTTTCTGAGATGTCTAGCAAGAAATATTGCCCTTTTACAGAATATTCTATTATTTTTTAGTTGAATTAGTATGTTGTATAATGAAGCACAATAACTGATTTCGCTACAGACTTACAATAAGAGTAAGAATATATAATTTTTGCTTCTATCCAATTTTCAGTTTAAAATGTGGAATCAGTACTTTTTGACAAGCTTTAGTTACACAATAATTGCACTGTAAATTTTAAAGATTTTTTTTTATTATGCTGAACTAAAATGTTCTTTTAAAATCATTGTGCCAAAATATTCCATGCCAATTTTCATGTTTGAATGTGGTATTGTTGAACATTCACAACGTTATATGTGAGGCACAGCTCCCATTTACATAAAGTTAGATGAGGTAGCTTTAGAAATCAAAAACACTTCAGTAAGTGGGTTGACTGCTCCTTGCGGTAATCAGTTTTAACAACTTTATACCAACCAACCTGGAGGAAAAAAAGTGTTTGTCATTTTTATGTGAAAACATTTAGTGCATTTTGTTGCACTAATCCATGTAACAAAATGGTGAAACTTATTATATACACAATTATTGCTTGATTTAAAAAAACTGAGGCTTTTACATATCAACTTACAATTTCCAAATTCAGTGAACAATATATTGCCATTTCATTTGCATTTCATGTGAACTCATGTAATAATACTTTATTTACATCCATAAAGAAGTCTCAGAAGCCTGTTTGATGAAGAAAGGTAATATTAGTTAAAACTGTTATTTATATATTTTATGTAAGTAACATAAAATATGTAGAGATTTTATGTTACTCTGTAGGGAGTGCATTTGAATTGGAAATAGATTGCCAAATGTCTATTGCAAAATATATTTCACAATGTGCACAGAAAAAAACAAAACAGATAACAAATAGTGCTGAGAGTCATACATTTAAAAAAAGAACAAATACCTGAGTTTTAGGATGAAGGAAACGAACTCCTTCCTGATTCACACTGATTAAGCAGGGGGAAGGACATCCATGCTGGCTAACCTTCTTTGCCAAGAAGGTGTTGGAGCCAAACAAAGGGAGGGTCCTCAAAGACTCTGAGATAGAAGATTCATGTAATTAGCATTATAATAGTATTCAGAAAATTAACATCATGATCACACTTACAGAGAAAAGAAAAAAAAGACAGAAAAAGAAAAGTTTCAACCCACCAATAAACCGAATTTTGGCATCTTCAGGACTGAGAGACTGCATGGCAGCTAACTGATCATGGCAGAGCAATTGGATTTCCTCAGCTTTACTGGCAAGTCCGTCTTGTAAGGGCAAGTACTCCTTTAGCTCCGGCCTTAGAAAAAAAGAAATCAACAAATTCATATATTACACACTCACACACTCACACACACACACATACTACGGTCAAAAATCTTAGTCTCCTAGAGAAACAGTCCTTTTATTTAGTCAAAGCACAGACTCCTGTTTGTGAAATCATGTGCTTTTATTTTGTAATGCTTACAGCTCCTAATCAACCAATCAAGATAAAATGATCTCAAGCATGTTTTTACAGATGGTGACTTAGATCTTCCTGGGATACTCCTGAGCTGTAAACCTATCTGTGTGTTAATTAAATTTCTGTGTCCCCCTTCTTTGTTTCTGAATTCACATCCTACTGTGAAGATAGGATGTGGGGTTTCACCCCCTCCATTCCTTTTCACACCCTTCTTGCTAATAAAAGAGACAAACAAACTGAAGGTTTTCAGAACACATGGTGAGCGGCTTGGAGAAGCAGTTCACTGTGTCTTCTCCTTCTGCAGAAGTTTGGTTGAAAACTCATATACGTTGTCTGTGGTTCTTTCTTTTATGTAGGTTTGAGAAAATACCTATCAATGTTCATCACAGGAATTATGTCATGTCTTATGCAAAACCCTTCAAATAAAGTGTTACCAAAATGTTTAAATGAATTCACAGATTTTCTCTTCAGAGTATCTCACAACTATAGTACCCTGTGCCAGAGTGAATGGTAACTTTTCTAAAATTTTCTTTCAATTGCAGTTTAGCTAAATGCAGTTAGAAGGCAGGTTCTGTTGTTGTTATAAGCTAAAGTTAGTGTTACCAAGTTGTATTTCTATTTTGTTATCCATCATCCATCCATTTTCTGTACACCCTTGTCCATAGTGGGGTCGGGAAGGGTGCTGGTGCCCATTTCCAGCGAATGTTTCGGGCGAGAGGCGGGGTTCTATTTTGTTATATTTACACAAAATATCTTGTTATTCAGCCTACTCACTAAATAAAACCAACACAACATTACCATATGATTTGTGGCTTGTGAAAGCATCACAAGGTTCACAATCTGTATTGTGTTTTTCACCTAGCTGAAAACTGAATAGCCTTATGAGTTCACCACATGAACAGTTGTTGGATTGTAGTTCAGTAGGCCAAGGAAACCCATATCAAGTTGAAAAATAAATTCACTGTTTTTTTTTGTTTGTTTTTTTTACATCAAATTAGAAGCACATTTTGGTTTGATGGAAAGCTTTACTCAATACACTAAACAAAGTAGCAAGATCCAGTTATTAATGGTGCCCAAAGACAATTGTTCCCCCAAATTTAAACTCATATTTATTACCAGTTATAATTTATTCTACTTACAGTGACAGCTGGCTCTTCAAACCCTGAGCTAAATGCTGCAGGGCTGTCAATTCAGCAATCTGTTGAACTGATGAAGTTCCACCAGCATAATGAGGAATGATTATCTTGCCATGAAGATATTCCTCTAGAAGCTAAAAACACAAAATCTTTGCAACTTGAGAACTGATCATTCAAAAACATTTTTTCATTTTCAAAAACATTGGCTTTTTACCTGCTGATAGTGAAAGTCCACAAAGAGCTCATTCCTGAAGGAAAGAGGTTTTTCCCAGAGGACTCTCCTGAATGACAAGGAGATGGAGCCATCATCCAGTAAGAAATCAAACAAGTAGTCCTCAGGATGTAGAGGGCGCACCATCCCATCTGAAGCAAAGGACCAAAGAAGGAGGGACATAAGGACAAAGAGAGAAAACATTGACAAAAAGAAAAATGGAAGTCACTTGGAGGACAGTTGGGATCCCCAGGTCTTCCCTGACCACCTCCTTCCAATGAAACAAGAGGAAGTTAAACAGCTCTTAAAGGAAAAACATGCTTTTGTTAGTGATGAGCATGATGTTGGGACCATTCTGTCTCTGAAAATCAGACTAAATGATCTAACTCATGTCAAAAAGACATACATCTCAGTCCCTAGGCCATTCCACAAAGAAACAGAGGAATATTTGGAGGACTTGTTAGATAAGGGATGAATCACAAAGTATGCAGTCCCTTGAGGGGCTGAAGTATGACAACTGGAGTCGTCATTCTCCAGTCTGTGTGCAAAAAAAGATGGTCTGACTGCAGCTGTGTTACAATTATCGAGAGATATGGATTTACCTTTCAAAGTAAGGTAAAGGGGGTTTGGACCGCGTTTGTCGTTTGATTTCCTAAACCGTGAGTGAAACAGTCACTGGGACTGACTATATATTCCATTGAGGGACAACAACTTTAACATTACATACACCTTTCTGAACAGGTGAGGACACACTTTCTCTGTCTATAATCAGACATTAAAGCAACTCCCTGGCACCTCCAGACCCGGGCCCCATGGGCACCCATCTGCCTGCCGATGGCCTATTGATATGGAGAACATAACTGACTGTACATAGGATGTACTTCCTGAGGTGAGGCACAGCATAACATGGTCAGTCACTGTAAAATCCCAGAAGAATGAGCTTTGGCTTTGCCCACTTATCATTAATACTCTCTCTAAGAAGGCAGATTAGGAAGTCAGTTCAGTGACGAACAATTCTTAAAGGGGCCCAAGAAGAGGATGCTGTGATGAAGGAGGTGCTCCACTGTGTGAGGGTGGAAAACAGCTCAACAGTAAAACTGCAGCACCAGAGAAAAACAACCATCCAAGAACAACTGCTCTTGTCTCAAAAGTTCCACAAGTTGGTCTACAAGAGATGGGCCACCTGGGTGTGGAGAGAGTGATGAATCTCATAAGAGGTTTTATTGACCCCATATCAAGAGAGATGTGGAGCACTACGTCACTCAGGTGTGTAGCTGCTTGAAATACAAATGTCCAAACAAGCTGACCAGATCACCTCTAACATCCTCATCAAATGCTTGTTATTTTATACACACATTTGCCTGAGCTCCAATTCCTATACTTCCGTCTCTAATAACTGAAACATGAGTGCTTTAAGATGTGCATACATTCTAGTGTCTTCAAATGAACTTATTCATAACATCCAAATCCGTAGTGTCTTGTACCCAGGGGCGCTGTTTAATCTGGAGGCATGCCTTCAAACAATACACGGGGCAAACCTGACCAACCTCTACCGGCCGCCTGTTAGACACTGAGAAGGGCAAATTAACCCACGAGCGTGAAATACCAAGAGCTGTGTGAAGGGGGCGCTCATGCTGACTTCCACAAAATGCCAACCTGGGTGGTTCTCCATGTTTCCCATATCAGAAACCGCCACTGATTGTACCCTATTGATGTACGATCGATGGGGTCGTACATCAGTTCGCCCCTATTGTACTTTCTTCTGCACAGCCTTCTGTGCAGAAGAAAGAATTAAGATGTTTGTATTTCATTATCTGTAAGGCTCAAAATCCATCCATCCATCCATTTTCTGAACACCCTTGTCCCTCAGTGGGGTCGGGAGTAAGGCTCAAAATATTTTACTTTATGGATCTATTTATGAGATTTTTTTCTGAAATGAGTGACAAAAAATACTGAACTTTTAACAATATTAAAATGTTCTGATCTGTACTTGCAACACAGCAAGAAATGTGTACATCTACACCATTTGATACCCACCGTAGCAGCGTGGGTATCAAACACTGTCCTCATATTAATTTGAGTAGCTGAATGAAAAGTAATGAGAACCATTTTGAGATCATTTACAGAACATTAGAATTTTAGAAGGACAGACAGGGAAAACAGTTAGACCAAGAAGCAATACTGCTGCATGAGTAAAACACTACACTATATTAAGAAGTTTAACAGCTGACAAATAGATCAAAAACAGTTTACTAGCGTTACAGATGAACCTTGTCAAACCAGTTGAATACTCAATGTCTTTAGCCCATAGTTTACCACTAGTAAACTAGTAATGGATGTCACAGTTACCTTGAAATCTTGTGGCGATGAGGGAAAACTCCTTGACCTCTGTAAACTCTACGATTTCCATGTTTTCACACAACTCTGTCACAACATCTACTGTCACCTAGATAAAGATATAAAATGGCATATGTGTGTGTGTGTGTATATATATATATATATATATATATATATATATATATATATATATATATATATATATAAACATATATATAAACAAAAAAATGTGCCATTTTTTGTTTTAAAGACCAATCATACACTGAAGCTGCGAATCTTGACAGGAAACTCTACTCCTCCTGGCAACTGGATAGGAATGCGTTGAGAAGTTTTGCCAGTCTAAGAGACAAAATAAATAAAATCTTAAAATAATAGAAGCTTCAAATGGTAAAACTGAGAAATCCAACAAAAAGAAACATTTTTTGTAGACAGATTTCTATTTGTTTAAATGTGTAACTTACTAGAACGGCCTCCATTTCAACATGTGAGGGAACGTTTCGTCGACCACCAAAATTGATTGAACGCTGGAGGTTATCCAGACATACCAATGCCAGCTCTGATGTAAGTACAAGTAAAAAAAAACAGGTAAGGCACACTAATAATTCAAAATACACTTAAGAAGTTACCTTTTGTCTTCTCTACCTTGGTATGGGTGTTCGTTGTCCTGACAGATCTCTTGCAGGTGCTGCATGACAAAGGGATGGAGAATCGCAGAGCAAGGGAAGAAGCCAGTAATAAGGCTAAGCAGCCGCCAGCCGAAGGTACAGCTTGATCTGTAGAGGTGGGACCATGAATAAGTGTATGCAAAGAGGGTGATAGTATGAGAGCAGTGGGTTTCAATAATGTGTTTGAATTTTCCTTTCACCCTTTGTCAGATTTCTTGTTTATTGTATTATGCATTTATTTTCATAATTTTGCTGTGGGTAGAGGCAGCAATATGCCTTGTAGGCTCTGAGCGTGCCGCACAAGTGCCTGAATGTAATTGGCTGTGGAGCTGGGTGCAGGTATATAAAGCCCCCTCCCCTCATCTGGTTGACATGACGTTTCTCTTCCGTTTCAGTCTTTTGCATTTGCTGGCGCTGCTAGGTAAAACGGGCTTCATATCTCCTCATCAAACCTATTATTTGTGGTAATTTATTTCCATTTTCTGCATAACAGCTGTGTACTAATGCACGCTTGAATGGTGCTCTTAATGACGCTCTAAACACCGGTCAATCCACCTTGTGGTAAGGAGCTTCCCACACTTTCTGTGTTTGTTAGCCTAGCTTTAACTCAGCCTCTGTTGTATTGCCAGGCAAGGACCTTCACTCCAGCCATCTCCACTTCAATATGTGGGCAAGAAGCAATTAATTTAGGTGTATCTGCTGAACACAAACCAGTAGTTGAGCCAGAAACGGCCAGTTCTTGGTGTTGGTGGTCGACTTTCTGGGTGGTGGTCCTCTTTGTCTGGTTCGGTGCACGATTTTCTTTTACTTTTGCTGTCTTGTTTGCTGCGTTCCTTTAGTTTAGGTCACTACCCAGATCTGCACTGTCGTCTCAGAGCTGAGCCATAACTTGTCCATTTTAATGTGTGAGTGGTTTTAAATGAGTGTTTTTCATGTTGACTAAAATAAACATTTGTATAATAAAATGATTGAATTGGATAAAATTGTCTCAAGCCTCATCTGTAGCGGGTCTGTGTGCCTTTAAGGTAACTTTTCAAGTGGAGTTATTGCGATCAATTTTATCTATATTTAAATAGTGGTCTTAATAAAGCTCTGAGAAGCATAGTAGCTTAAAAAATCTTTCATGTTTTATTTGAAGCAGTATTCTCCTTTAATAAGCTTGAGATACAAGACTTTCCTTAAAAAATTATCAAACATGTTGAGTTACAACTATGTTGAACTTTGGGTTCGACAGTCTCTTGACCTTTTGAATTTATGGTTCATGTTATGTCTTTATTTCAATTATGCTTATGAGAATTGTGTGTAATATAGGCAGGGGCGCTGCCAGGAATCTTGGGCCCCCTGACAAAAAATTAAATTGGGCCCCCCCTCACGCAGCTGCTGTTACAATTTCTTGAGTCTATCTGACCCATCAAAACGTCACAATTTCAAAGGCTTGCATCTGCCTTGCTTTCTTTGGTCCAATACTGATAACTAGTACAATATTTACTGCTCATGAATTTTACATGCAAGAGTAAAATTTAGTATGCATACAGTCTGCATACAGTATGCAAGTAGGTTGCTTAATTTTTTTTCTATTAGTTTTGGATTACTGAAATGTCTCTCCCCATGAGCAACAGTCAAAATATACATGAAGCAATCCAGACTTCTCAAAAATGCTATGTAGTTGCATTTTATTCAAGCTGCAGTATGTAACTTTAATAAAAAATATGTTTTCTCCATATTTATTAAAGCTGTCATCATGTCGTGACAGTTTGTTATGAGACAGATGATCTGTGATCAATCAATCTCCTCCACCTCCTTCCTGAACTACTATTACTGGCTAAAGTAATGCACCGTTCTGACCAAAACAACCAATCAGAACTAGTAGGACGCTCTCAGCACTGTCAATCAACCTCATTCACTCACTGCTAAATGTGCTAATGGTGGAGAAACAACTTATTGTTACAGGAAAATCGTTTATCTGCTATCACTGGTAGCTATGCTTACTAGACTAAGCATTTACAACAGGCTATGCTAGCTGCAGAATAGCACAGCGCAAGGGGGAGGAAGGATGAGCCACATGAGATTGTGATTGACAGCACTAAAACTCTCCTGCCACTGATTGGTTGTTTTTAGCACCAGGAGAAAGCAGAGGAAATAGATTTTTCACAGATTACCTGTCATACCATACTATCACAACATAATGACAGTTTTAACAAATATGTGGAAAAAATATATTTATATAAAAGTGACATACTGCAGCCTGCAGCTTTAATTTCACTTAGGAGAGGGCAGGTCAGGAGGGACGTGGGTTAGAGCTGCTGCTGAATGACTCGTATGTTAAGTGGTAAAAGGTACAGGACAAGTTAAATATATGAATATGTTGGTAATTTTTTAAATTCATTAAATGCTAGTGAAATGGAGGTAATCAGTAGTCTGTAGCTAAGCTAACTATGCTGAATGGTTGATAATATCATACAGTCTACTCACCTCTCTTGGAGAAAAACTGAGCTATAAATTGACACTCTTGCCTTTCTCTCTCTCTCTCTATTTTTTTTTTTGAAAACCTGGTTTTATAACTTTTCTTAGCACCATAGTAACCGTTTTTGTAACGCAATCGTTTTTGTTTCCTACCGTCTGCTGCTAACAGCAGACAGTAGACAACATGCGCTCCAAGCATGAACGAACCATTTAGTGCATATAGTGGGGTTCAGGGCAAATGTGGATGTATGTTTTTTGATCTGGGAGTGGGAACATTAAATTTTTACTGCTAAAAACAATCTTCGAAAATACAATATGATTAATTTTGTAATTGACAGGGCCCCAATTTATTTTTTATTTCTATGAACAATAAATAAATAAATTGCGGAGGGCCCCCTGTTGGTCAGGGCCCCTAGAATTGTCATCACTTTTTCCCCCTATACCGTGCCCCTAGGCTTATCAACCCTGCAGCTTTAAAGAGCAACTGGTGTTAGATAAACAATGTCTCAAATCTCAGTAGATTGAGAAACAAATTGTTACACCTCTGCTGTTTTTCAGTATAAAAGATGTTTGAACTCGGAAGCCAGAGACGACATTCTGATGGAGCAATTCTGAAATTGTTTTCAATTGATACATTCCTGGTAGACCTGACTGAGAGCTTTTCACCCTGACAGTGCATAGATAAAGAGCATCTTCAATCAGTAGCTTTTTCAGATTCAATGTAGTACAGGCTACTGCAGGAGAGTTTTCCTGCCACCACCATCTTCAATAACTCTTTGAAGAATCTAAATTAATGATTTACAACATTTAATTTTCCTCTGGGATTAATAAAGTATTTTTGTATTTGAATTGACTTAAATTATTTTTTCCTACAAGATAGGTTTTTACTTCCTCCTTGCAGTGGACCCCACAAGTTTTTACCCTGAGTGCTGTCCCGGTGGAGTTGCACTGACCCCATATGCGCTTTTGAGTTTTTTTTGTGCTGATGGAACATCCCCATCGTTTCCCCGTTGTCTGACCAGGACATCTGCCATACTCTTGCTGAGTGTTGAGCTTGGACTATGGGAGGGCTCACAATAAAATTTAATCTCAAATGAATGTGAAATACCCACCTGGTGGGGTTGTTGGTTGTTTGTTTGATGACCTGGCAGTAGATTTCATCTCTAAGAATTTCCTTTTCCTTCCCTAACTAAACAAATAAGGGAAAATGATTTTAAAGTAATACCAAAGTAACACCTGTCAACATCAACATCAAACTTTGAAAATATTTCCTGACCAGCAGGATATGAGTTAGGCAATTTGCTTGTGTAGTGTTCTTCTGTGTTGTGATGTCCCCCATAAACTGCATCAGAGCTGTAAATAGAGATAGCCACATGACCTTCTTTAGGATCCAAAACAGTAACATATGTTTCAATAAAATAGGATTAGTAAACTCACTTATGAAGCACTCAACAGCCAAATCATTGATTTCAGAATCATTGTAGAGAATGAGTGACTCCTGGATGGGGACCTTAATAAAAAATAAAATACAGTTAGATCTTAATTTTAAAACTTTAAAACATACCTCATTACTTTCCACTCAACCATGAAATAAACATTTATAAATACTTTTCAGAATCTTTTCTAATGAAATCTGTTGACTTCTGTGGCTTGATAGCACCTGGTTCAACCAAATAAATAATGCACACAGAAAATGATTTATTCAAAGACATACAGAATTCTTACTGACTTAGGGGCATAAGATTACATTTATCTTGATCTGCAATGGTATAGAGTTCAAATTATTTGATACAAAGTTAGAAAAATTGTTTTTACAAGTTTAAATGTTTACAGGTACTCCTCAATATCGTTATTCATATTTCTCAGAATAACCACAGAAATATGAAGATGATCCCTCTGACTCTATTCAGCTCTGCTAACACTTATCCTCACCTTCAGAGGATAAGTTATGTCACCCCACCATGGTACAGCTATTATGCCTTGTTTTAATTGATTTGTATGGGTCAAATTGGCAGTTTGGATGCTATTTTGTTGGTTTCCATAACACTCAACAGTCAAAGCACTGATTTTAGAATTATTGTAGATTCTGAAACCTACAATAGTATCAGAACCATTGCACTGATTCTGAAATCATTGTATATGATCTGTCTATACATCTGACCATACAGCACCATTCAATATGGTCTGTTTGTAGGACAGAAAAATGTCACAGCTTGTGATACGTTTGTCACCAGGCTAGTATGATGCCACATTTGGGTTTTACTCTGCCTGGCCAATGAGAGTCCAATGGGCTTTGGGAACATGCTCTCAAATATGGTAGACCGTAAAATAGTGCTCCAAACCACACCGGCCACGTCATGCAGAGGACACAAGGCAATCAGCTTAGAATATCTGTCAGCCGTCTGTGACATCTGCCGTGCTCAGGAAGAGCACGGCACCAATGTTAGTAAATTGTCTATCAGGACTGCTTTATTTGTTGTTTTTTGCTGCCTTGCTTTGTGCTTGATTCTGCCCTATTTCTGTCAAGCTGAATAGGGCAAGCAGAACTTGTTATTACCAAGTTCTGCTTGCTATTTGGAAAATACTTTGAAATATGGATTAAGCATGATGTAGCTCAACCATCTCACTATTTATGGTGTCTGTCCCATTGTACTTGTGCAAACTACTGGCTGTCATTGTACAGAAAAGCACATCAGAAGAGGCAAATGAAGAATTGTCCTGGTTGGACTAAAGCTCAATTAGGTCTGGTTGTGTTGTGATTAATCTTAAATGTCAGTTTTCATATAAGAGAGGGTGCACTAACTGGATATTTTTTCATCTATAATGGAATAAAAATAGTGAATATGAAGGAGAGTATGATACAGAATATAGCTTGTATAAAAAGGTGCATATTTACAACAAATGTGATATATTTGGTGAAGAACCTCTTGAATTAGTTGACTGAAATGAGCTGCAATGCTTAAGTTAATGTCATTTAAAAACATACTCCGGAGAAAGTGGCTAAAAATTATGTTCCTGATAAGTGAATGTAAAGTTTTAAACACAACAGAAGACATGGGTCACCAATCAGAATGTTCATAGGGTCTTACCACTGTATGCTGAACTGCTTCTGAAAAATTTCTTCCAGTGACTGGCACTCCTGTTGTCTCCATTCTTTCAGCACCAATTAATGCAACACAACATTAGCCTTGCTCTGTTAAACACACATAATAATATGAACAGGATTTACGTGGAAATTTTACTTACCTAAAATACTTGGTAGCAAAGTCAGCCATAGCAGAAAAGATCTCTAGGTCATGGTTGGATCCTTTTTGTGAGCTTTGGGCACGTGTGTGTTGTAAGCCCTCTACTGAAGATGGATTCATGGCCTCCCGATTAGACTGCACAGAACGATTGTTGGGTATGTGTCTGCTGGTGGGGACTGGTGAAGGGCCATTGAACGAACTGACTGGCTTAGCATTCCTCATGCTTTTTCTCCTGTCATCTCTTCGATCTAGATGGAGCCAGTGATAATCTGGGGCTGCACAAGGCTGGGTGAGGTCCAGTGGAAAAAGACCAGAACGTCCACCGGTGCTCCCAAACTCCCAACCTAGTGCAACATTCACAGTAGGTTAACATTAAAATAGTACAATATTAACAGCATGGGTGGGATATGCTGGTAGAAATAATTAATACTTAGCATATCTAATGTTAAATACAGTAAATATACAATTATGACTACCACTGAACTAATGATCTCACCAGTCTGAAGGCCTTCCATTTTCTGCAGTTTGATGATATCCCCCTTACTGAAGCTCAGAAGCGTCTTGTCATCCGTTACAAAACTCTTTAGAGCAACCATGTGGCCCGAGTCCTTAAGAAATAGGAAAAAGATATGTATAAAGATGGTTAAAATCTAAAATGGGATAAGATGCAAGGGACATTTAGCAAAGACAAACTAATACTTTTAAAGGAAATATAAGATTTAAAAAAAAAATTACAAAAAAAAAAAAAAATCACCTTGATGAGTTCCTTGAGGAAAACTTCGATCATGGCAGTGATCTGAGGAGCCCTGGTTGACAGCAGCACTAAGTTTTCCATTTTAAGGTCCAGTTTTACTTTGTCTGCTCCCTCAAGGTTAACAGACAGCACCTCTGCAAAACTATATTCATATAAAATATTATTCTGGGCCAGAAACAGTGATGGCAGTGAGTGGCATTGAATGTTAAGTTTTAATTAGAGTTAACATTCAAACAAATAAGGGCAATAAGATGATTATTTGTCACATTTTTAAGCTAGTTAATTAGTATGTTCATGTCAGAACTTTGATCTGGAAGTGATGGCTTGCCAGGTTCAACCCTGTTTTAGTTTAAGTTGGAAAACCATAGAGTTTTCAGAAGTTATTTCTATATTTAAAAGGAAATTGTCAGATAAAGACTATTACTGGCTAATATACATACCTGTAACTTTTGAGCAGTTTGAGATGTTTAGGATTGATGCCTGATGCTTTCACCACCTTCAATAGACGAATCCCTCGATGAGAAACACCCAAAACTTGAGCATCTCCATTGTGTGGCTGCATGTAAAAAAATAATATTTTTTAGTGGTTACTATACAGTATGTCATATCTAATGGATAATGAGGGCTTAATTTATTAATAACTACACAAGTTATTAATAAAATAACTTGTTTAGTTATTTTTGGGGAACAACTGATCTGCCTCAAGACTGTATTGAGAGATTGTAAAGTCTGAATGTCAAATGTTGTTGGAAGAGTTTGCACAGATACGACATGTGTGCAAAAGACAAAATTGTTGCTTTGACCCAAAATGGCTGACTTCCTGTTGGGTTTGGACCAAGGCTCCAATAGACATTTCTGTAGGTCCTGACAAGTCACACATCTGTACAGAGTTTGATGATTGTTGGCCAATGCATGGATTGGGGCTACTTTTTTAGATTTTGTTTTAGAATTCTAAGGGGTTCGGTGGAAGAATTAGACCACAGTCATCAAATATTGGACAGCATTCCTGTCGTGAGGAGGGGAGGTGGATTAAGATTGATCATATCAAATGAAGTGCAGATCAGCTGAAATCTGTGGAATTTAGAGCCAAATGTAATGTAAACGTGATGTCTGAATTTGCCCTCCAGCGAAAAGTTTTTGTGCTTTCGCCAAAAGTGAGACCAATTTGTTATCTGTTTTCTGAATCAAGAAGACAGATAGGACAGAAGATGTTGTTTAGGTCAGATATGGACCTTTCAAAGTAAAGCATTACATTTCTGGTTGTCAGGAAGTGTCGCTTAGGTGATGTCATGATTTGACTATTGAGTATTATAGAGGACTGGATGTGGAGGTTTGGTGTCTCAGCGACTTTTTGTGTTTCATAGCAAAATATCAAACTTTGGCTGGGGTCTGGCCACACCTCTTCAACATACTCAAAAACTCACCATTTTGATAACTTTTAATGCCCTGTGCTTTATGAGCAAACTGACCAGGTTTCAAACTGATCAAGGAGGAGTTGGATTAAATGTGAAGGCTGTAAATCGCCATAATGAGGTGAAAATTGGAATTTCAATCCAAGATAGCTGGCTTCCTGTTTGTTGTAGAGTATGGGTGCAAGAGAGTTTTCTGTAGGTCTTTGGGAGTTGTACAAATTTTATTGCTGTACAATAAAGTAAGGTCAATGTGGAGGGTCTTTTGAAAGTTGCCATGGAGAGCTGTTAAGAAATTTCTGTTTCAACTTTTGCAAACCCTTGCTTGCTTTTTCTTCCTGGTTCCTGTTTTTGTTCTGCTCTGGCTCCCTGCGTTCTGTGACTTTTGTAAGTTTTCAGTTTTATCATCAAAGGGTACGTTCACACTGCAGCCTGAAGTGACTCAATTCCGATTTTTTGGCAATTCCGATTTTTTTGCCAGTGCCGTTCACACTCCCAGTAAATGCGACCTGTATGCGTTCTGCAGTGTGAACGGGCAAACGACTTGAAAGTGTCCCGCATGCGCAGTAGAGGGCGCAATAGTGCCAGCGTTCTAGGTGTTCTGCCAACCGCCATAAAAAGAAGAAGTGCTCAGTGTTTGCGGAAGTAAACATGGAGGCTAACGGTGGAGCTTAGCTTACATATTTGAAGTTGTTGTCCGGCCGGAGCAGCATATTAACAACTTAATCCTCATATAATCCGTCATGGTTGTTGTTTTTCTTCCCACTTGTGCGTATCAGGATGCAGAATAGTGAGATTTGTTGAGAATCAGTGACGTTCAGTTCGGATGAATGCGACCTGGACGTTAGAAGGTCACATTTGAATCGGATACGTATCGGATATGGGTCAGATTCGAAAAAGAATCCGACCTGTGCTGTTCACACTGCCATGAAAAGATCGGATACAGGTCGCATTACGTCAAAAAGATCGGAATTGAGTCACTTCAGGCTGCAGTGTGAACGTACCCAAAGAAAATTCTCCATGCTCCCAGCTCCTGTCTGCATTTTTGAAAACCAATGTTATCAAAAAATGCAGTTTACTGACATTTTTTAACTATTGTTAAAATATTTTCTAAGCTGAAATGTAAAAGTAATGAAAAGAGATGCAATATGGCGTTAAAACTATGTCTGTACTAAACTCAGTTGGAGTGGTATGGTACCGTGCAATTTATCCACACTCACTGCTTTCTTGCTCAGCAGGAGGGAGCAAGAAAGTTCCCTCCTGCTGAGAGAACTCAGCAGGAGCTGAATGTAGCTTCCTAATGTAAAAAGCTACATTATCTAGCTTCCCTACATAGATAATGTTTGATCATTTGACACTATAATGTACATAAGACCATCTTAGGGAACATAAAGTATCTGATTGGACTGTGTGTCATGGAAACTAATCTATCTGTATGATTGTATTGTATTAGTATGAGTTAGATTTGCAGTATATTTCTATTATTGGAAAATTTATTCAATCTGTTTTTCTTTTAATGTGCAATGATATTAAATTAGTCAAGAAGTGCAATATAAAAAAACCCAAACCTAAATAACAAAAATGGACAAAACAAATGTACCATATTCCTTTTTCTTGAAGCTTACCGTCACAGGGTAGAGTCGACTAAAGTAGTTCTTCCAGTTATCTCGAGCGGCAATAACAATTCTCTTCTTCATGTTGTCATCCTGAATGGTGCTTATGTTTGTTCCCACGTTGAAATTTGCTATAAAGGCACAATGACATTGGGAAAGTTAAGTTAAGCTTTGTTATATTAGAGGATAAAAAGTAGGAAGCTGGCAAAAACCTCAGAACTGCTGCTAACTGTGGAGAAGAGGGTGGAAGCATTATATATGATACAACAATAATAACATTTTAAGAAATTGTGTAAATTACAACAGTCTTAAATAGAAGGCAACCAGACATTTGCCTAGTTTTCCATAAAGAGCTTATGAGGAACCTGAGATCATTTGGTGTGAGAGGACACTATTAAGAAGGTTCTATGATAGTGTGGTGGCTTCAGTGATCCTCAATGCTGTGGTCTGCTGGGCTTGTGGGAGCTGAGAGAGGGACAGCAAGAGACTTAAGGTAATCAGAAGGGCTGGCTCAGTTGGAACTGCTCTGGACTCCATTGAGGAGGTGGGTGAGAAGAGGACATTAGCTAAGCTCAAAGCAATTATGATTAACTCCTCTCACTTCCTGTATAAGACTGTGAGGACCTTAGGCAGCTCCTTCAACAGCAGACTGAACTTCCTGAAGTGTTGGGTAGGAAAGATACTGCAGGTCATTCACACTAAGTGCAGTCAGACTGTATAACACCTACAACTAATAAATCGCTGAAATATCTGTACTACTCCCTACCACTACTTCCTCTGTTATCTCTCATCCATGTACTTACTACTGTATTGTCATTGTGTGATGCCATTGTTTCTTCAGTTATTTTTATACATATTTTAGTACAATATCACAGATTCTTTAAGAAAAAAAATATACATGGTATATAGCTTTCAGTTATTCTATATGTTAGACTGTCTTTCTTTGGGATTTGATTATTTTCATTGTGTGTCATCTCAACAGATGACATACAATGAAGAACAAAATTGCTAATGTCAATACATTAGCAATTTTGTTCTTTGCTGCTGTGACACATGAATTTAACCATGATAGGTTTAATAAAATCTATCAGTCTGTCTGACACTCTTTGTCAACCCTATTGTAATAGAAATGATCTAGGTGACTGAGTATATACAAAGGCATCATGTGTAAATCTTGCAGAAACATATGAGAACCTAACTCAGAATCTCAATTACGGAAGTGTTTTCCAGTATGATAAATGATGAAAGTTGGATCATGTCCCCTGAGACAAGTTCTTTGTCTCAGGAAAAAAAACAAAAAAACATTAGCTAATCCATCCATCCATCCATCCATCCATCCATCCATCCATCCATCCATCCATCCATCCATCCATCCATCCATCCATCCATCCATCCATCCATCCTCTTCCTCTTCCTCTTATCCGGGGTCGGGTCATGGGGGCAGCAGCTTAAGAAGGGAGGCCCAGACTTCCCTCTCCCCAGCCACTTGTTCCAGCTCCTCCGAGGAAATCCCAAGGCGTTCCCAGGCCACCTGAGAAACAGTCCCTCCGGCGTGTCCTGGGTCTTTCCCAGGGCTTCCTCCCGGTAGCATCCTGCAGGCATCCTGACCAGATGCCCAAGCCACCTCAACTGGCTCCTCTCAACGTGGAGGAGCAGCGGCTCTACTCTGAGTCCCTCCCGGACGACCGAGCTTCTCACCCTATCTCTAACATTATGTAGCAGTTTAAGTTCATAATGCTAAGTGACAGTAATGTCTTGACATCAATAGCATATTTTTTGTCCTTGAGGGACTGAACTCATTCTTGTATTTGTGTTTTGGAGTCAGCAGATGGTCCAGACCTCACAGACACACCGGTGGCTCTTCTGACAGAAGTCAAAGATGACAATATTGATGCAGCCCTGTTCAGCCCAGAGAGGATGAAATACTTTCTAAAATACTTTTCAGTGGTCCCACAAATTTGGCTGAATCCTTTCTCTTGCTCTTTGGGTACATCTATGTGCTAGACCTATAGTACCCAAAGAATCTAGAGCTTACGTTCACATTTATACAAAAAGTTCTGATGTGTCTAGAGGACAATAAACCATTGAAAGGGCGTCTCCTGACGCTAAAGAATGATTTGGTCAATGAGAATGGACACTCAGAATGGACTATATACTATTGAGGAAGGTTTTAGTTTTTTTTGCAGTAAGTGCCAAAATGTTTCTAAACACTTTTCAATGGCTACACATTCTAATAGTTGTTGTTGAGGATAGCTTATACGTATAATTTTGAATATTATCATGAATCTTTTGTGAGTTTTTATCATAAGGGGCTGGAGTCATCTCCTTTTCTGTTTGTTTTAATTTATGACAAGCACTTTGATTTGATTAAAAAGCACATTGTATTGAATAACAAAAAATTAATTAAAAAAGTTGTTCAATTGTCCCTGTTGTGTCATTTCACTATTTCAGTATAGGGTTAATTTTGAGTACATGTCCCCCAGATTATGAGTTGAGGAATATTGAAAAATGTCAGTGTTGTCATGATCCGTGGTTTTCTGTGTTTATTTTGAGTTTTTCTATGTTTTCCTGTTTCCCTGTGAGTCTCTGTCCTGTCCTCCCCGTTGATTGCTCCCCAGGTGTGTCTCATTCCCTTAATTACCCCGTGTGTATTTAAACCCACCTGTTGTCTGGGTTCCTTGTCGGGTCCTTGTCTAACGCTGTTTAGTTTGTCTAACGCCTGTTCGTCCTAGCTCTCCAGTCGTACTGTTTAGTCCTGGTTAGCTTAGATCCCGTTTCAGTCTTCGTGTCTGTTGCTACCGGCGTTTAGCTGCGTGCTTGTTCCTGCCGTGCTGCCAGCCTTGGACTGTTTATTGAGCTACCTTCATCATTAAAATTATCATCATCACCATAACCTGGGTCTCAGCGTCTCTCCTCACCACCACCAACCACACACTTCATGACAAGTGTATTTCCAGCATTATGAGTTGAATATATTGAAAATTTTAAAGTGAAATACTTCCTAATCATAAATTGAGAAATATCAATATTTATAAGACAATGTTGAGATAATTTAAGGCAACTGCACCTGTAATTTTTATTTTATGTAAACTTAAAACATTTAAAAACATCACTAAAATATTTTGTGTAATCTGTTACAAAATATTTTTGGAGTTCTGTGAACTTGTTAGGGTTTACAGTGTACAAGGACCTGACAGCCGACGCCCTATCCGACGGACTCTCCTCTCCAGGACCCCTGAATAGACCTTACCAGGGAGGTTTAAGAGTGTGACCCCCCTGTAATTGGAGCACACCTTTGGTCCCCCTTTTTAAATGGGGACCACCACCCAAGTCTGCCAATCCAGGGAACTGCCCCCGATGTCCATGCAGTATTGCAGAGTCGTGCCAGTCAACACAACCCTACAACATCCAGAGCCTTAAGGGTGAATCTCATCCACCCCCGGGGCCCTGCCACCGAGAAACTTCTTAACCACCTCGGCGACCTCATCCCCAGAGATTAGAGAGCCTGACCCAGAGTCCCCAGGCACTGCTTCCTCAATGGAAGGCATGTTGGTGGGATTGAGGAGGTCTTCAATCCCACCAACATGCCAACAGGTCCGCAACGTCCCGAGTCGAGGTCAGCAGCACACCATCCCCACTATAAACAGTGTTGGTGCTGTACTTATTCTCCCTCCTGAGGCGCCTGATGGTGGACCAGAATCGCCTCTAAGCCGTGCGGAAGTCTTTCTCCATGGCCTCTCCAAACTCCACCCACGCCCGTGTTTTTGCCTCAGCAACCACCCGAACCGCATGCCGCTTCGCCTGCCAGTACCCATCAGCTGCTTCTAGAGTTCCGCAGGTCAAAAAGGCCCGATAGGACTCCTTCAGCCTGACAGCATCTTTCACCGAAGGTGTCCACCAACGGGTTCGAGGGTTGCCGCCACAACAGGCACCGACAACCTTGTAGCCCCAGCTCCGATAAGCCGCCTCGACATGGTCCACTGAGACTCAATGTCCTGCACCTCCCCCGGAACGTGTTCAAAGTTCTGCCGGCGATAGGAGTTAAAGCTCCATCTCACAGGAGTCTCTGCCAGAGGTTCCCAGCAGACCCTCACTACACGTTTGGGCCTGCCAGGTCTGACCGGCATTCTCCCCCACCACCGGAGCCAACTCACCACCAGGTAGTGGTCAGTGGACAGCTCTGCACCTCTCTTCACCCGAGTGACCAAGACATATGGCTGCATATCCGATGAAACAATGACAAAGTCGATCATTGCTGATAATATATTGCAATAAAATATTATTGTTATCTAAAGACTCAATGCAAAATTTTGAAGTAACTCTGGAGTTTAAAGCTATATTAGTTCTAGAAAATGGTTCTTGACTAATTGGCAGATAATGGGAACATAAAACACTATGGGCCTGATCTACAAATATTCCAAATAATGAACAGTAAATTTCATGAGAGAAAAAAAAGAATGCGCAGTAAGTGGATGTGTTGCAGGTGTTCTACAAAGATTGACCATGCAAGTGCAAGTGCCACTGGTTGTCATCATGGAGAGTGTTGGAGAGTAGAGTGGTCAAAAAAGAAAAATGAAGTAAAAAGTCATTATGCTGGCGAACAAAAAAAAAAAAATAACACATTGAATTTAAATTAGCATACAACATGATAAACAGTAAAAACATTTAAAGATCAATCAAAATAAAGCTATAAACAGGTGTTTTTAACTCCCCTGACTCCCCACCAGAGCATGCTCTTCAACTCTGTCAGCCCAATCTTATCTCCAGTCCTTATGTGATAATCTGGAAATAAGGCATATTACTTATTTGTAAATATAGATGCTAAAACACCACCCGCAATGTGGTTCTGGTTTAATAAACTGCTTGCTGGTGATGAGTCATTACATTTGCATATCCTATCCATATCCAGTATTTTGCACTTTCTGCAAATTTTTGCATATTCTGTTTGTGTGTTGTTTGTAGATCATTTTTGTGCATGGTATCAAGTTTGTGCCTGTTTTTATAAGCGCAAATCTTTAGAAGGTAAGGTCATATGTTGCTTCCTGACATAGTCCAAAGAATTCTCACCAAGAAGGTCTTTCATTTTCCTTCTTTCTTCACTATCAATTCTCACACAGTTGTCAGAGTAGGTGTCTCTCATGATCTGAAAAAAAAAAAAACACATCCAGCAAAGGTTATAAAATCTGACCTTGATTTTCTAATTTGACATTGAATGGAAAGTTAGATGCATAAAAAAGGCTGATCAAATAGCTACCTGTTCACACAACAGGTTAAGGACATAAGGCTTGTTGAAGAGTTCTCTTGGATAAAACACCTGCAGATGAAATGAGAGGTTACTTAATAGGGATAATTTTTCAGATTTTCTCATAAATTGGGTGTTATAAAACAGGCAGACTTGGGATTGTTTTTGTAGAATTTACATAAATTTAATTTAAACAAATAGTTCACCATTTACACAATAAGCACAATATCTGCAAGACAGTAACAGAGATAATCATAAAAGGGAAAATCTATTTGGTGAATGAAATTGAGGAGCAAAGAAATCAGCAGAGCTATGAATAATACAAATGCAAAACTTCCTGAATTCAGGGCTGCTGGTTTAATTAATTTGGAGATAATGGCTTATAAATCTAAAATCATCAATGGAACTCCAAAACAATAAGGAACCAATGTAGCAGGTAATCTTTTTTTTCTCTTCAAAATTTAAAATAAACTAATAATATTGAAAGCTGTTGTAGCAGTTGCTTTTTATTTTATTCTTCAAATATTTTTATATATACAAAACTGATCAAAGCAAAGGACCTTCAATCACTAAGCAAAAATAAGAAATTCAACTATCTAGATTAACCAAACATCAGAATTTATGGTTGAAAATGACAAATATAACATGTAGTACACGTTCAAGATTTAGTGTGTACATCTAAGTTTGTGTGTGTGCACATGTATATACTACATATACATGATCACTTTCACAAAATTTACCTACAAACTGAGGTCATTTATGGAAAGTGAGGAGCTTCACCGGTTCTCACTTTTTTGCAGTTCTACTGAGCTCTAATAGTTGAATTTAGAGGTATGGCGTCAGTTAAGTTTTGGCTAAGATTAGAGTTAAGAATAGCAAGCGCTCTGAGTAGGGCTAGGAAAAATAGGTGGGTTAGCTGTTTTCATTTTAGCAAGCTGCTAAAATGAATGGAAGTCAATATAAGGTCCTCAGTTTGTACAGAAGTACAAGGATATGTGTATGTGTGTGAGGTGAGGGATGTTTATGTGTGTGTCTTACTTCTTTTCGCAGGAAAAGTTTTCCTGGCATGTTGAAGTGGGAGAAGTAAACCCCAGCAGAAAAGCGGTGAAGCTGGGATTGATTTCCCTCATCATCTGACATCACATCTGGACAGAAAGCAAATAAGTACAGTCGTCTAAAGGCCTTATAATATAAAGTAAACTTAAAGTTTCACAGCTTGTCAAGCACAAGTTTGACAAGTGTCTTCCTTTTTTGGTAAAGCATTGATTTGTAAAGAAGTATTGTTTTTGTTTTCTGTGTTTAATGTTGGTAATTTACCAAAATAAAGTGAAACAAGTAGCAACAATTTCACATTTTATGGTTGTAAATTTGATCCTTATTTCCAATGAGAATCACTCACAGAGAGATGGCGCAGTCATGGGTGGAGGGTCGGGAATGTTCACAAGGACAGGTGCTTGCTCTGGAGGAGGAGGCGGGGAGTCAGGAGGAAGAGGGGGATGATGCTGCGAACGCTGGGAGCCAAAAAGCTCCTCCAATGGACGCTGCTTCTGCCTCATGTTTTTAGAAATGACCCTGCGACCACTGGTGGATGGGGGAGAATTAGGGGGCCTTGGAGGCGGAGGTGGGGGAGGAGAAGCCCATTGTTTCTGTGTAAAAATTTAAAAATAAGTATTACAACAAAGAAACATAAATAAATCTATCAAGCAGTTGGTTTTGGGAGTTAGAGCTACCATGCCCCCCACCCCCCTTCTTACCTTTGGTTGTGGCACTGGTGCTTTGTTTCTGAGTTTAGCCAGAGCTTCCTCTTTTGGGTCACTCTTCTTAATAAATGTTCTAGCAGGAGATCTGAAAGATACATAACAACTAAAAAAAATCCATACAGATAATATGTGGTACACATTAAGAAATATTTGAAAAATCCTTCTTAAGCAGAGAACCCAGATCACTAATTTGGGGGTAATTTGGGATGGTCCCTGGTTTAAAATATTTGCATTTCTATACTTTTTTTTTTTTTTTTCAATTTTATTGTCAAAATGTTTCATCCAACCATCATTCATCCTCCTTTTTTTAACTGCCTTATTTAAAGCTGGATCACTGTTAGAATTTTCTAATGTAAAATTATTTGTAACACTTTATTTTGGCTTTTAAAAAACGATTGCTAAACAACTGGGAACTCTAGATATTTGAATTTGGAAAGAGTGGGATTTTACTTTGAGTAATGTTTTAACTTACTCATATTTAAACTGCTAGGATTTTTAAGTTTAGTAGTAGTGTCACAGGAACTCTATTGAATGCCAACTTTGACTTGCACTAAAAGTTTAATAGTATGTTACATTTTCACAAAATTCCAAAAGATTTGCTCAAGTGATAATTTAATATTAGCCCTCTGAGTGTTGATAAACATGGGTCGTAACATTTCTTATAGTTCCAAAAAACAGTTTTTTGGCAAAACTTTCTAAACTGCTACTTGTAGACATTTCACAGGTTGTGTATTCAATGTAACAAACATGCCTGAATATATATATATTTTTTCAAAAACAATGCATTACAACTTCAATTTTACATTTCTCACTAAACACGCATGTGCAGTATTGGAGGTGGTGCAGAGCCTGATCCAGACTACTGTGTGCAACCTGGCTGTGTTATGCAACTGTACCATATGCATATGAACTTTTGATATGTCTTTCTTCTGGAACACAGAAGACCAACCATCACACTCCCAAAGTCACAAAAGTGTGTGCAAGCTTTCTAAAATCAACATGCTGTCCACAACATCACTAGACAATGTGCAAAAACAGGTTTTGAAGAACTGATATATTTTTAACTGCAAATCTGAAGACAATGTCATGATCTTTGTCAATACTTAGAAAGGTTGCATGGAAAACCAGTGATACCAGAATTTCCTGTTGTATTATGTTTTGGGTCATGTTGTAGGATGGTGAACAAACCCTAATGTATTTCATTAAGTTACTGTGAAAGTTATTTGAATAATAAAAAACTAAATAAAAAACATAAACTAAAGAAATGAAAAAAAATTGCCTCTTCATCATCTCCATAATGGCAAATAGTGATCATCCAGGTGAACTGTGATAATTATCCTTAATTTTTATTCTTTCAATATTGTTTTTATGTTTGAGCATACAATTCTCAAACATATGTAATATTTAATTCTGTCAATCAATTTTTAAAAATTAATTACAATCTAGTGCTGTGATTAATCATGATTAATCACTATGCTTAACTTTGTAAACTTGAAATGTAAAAATACATATAAAAAAAACACAGACATCATTTTAAAGTTCTTTTATTTGTTTCTGGGCTTCATAATAGTTTTTTGCACAAGGGTATTTTTCCGGCCATCTCATTCCCTCAGGTTACCTGACCCGATGTTCCTTCAAGCATTTTCAATTCCAGGCCCAAAGCTGTGGAACAAAGCTATGGAACAAGCTGTGTCTGCTCATAAGACAAACTCCCTCAGTTTTTAAATCTTACATGAAAGCACACTTTCCACTTTCCCTCTGAGCTTTCAACAATTAAAAATAATATTTTTAAAGTGCTTTTAAAATGCTCTAAACCTGGTGTGGTATGATTTGAATGCCTTTTCAAATTTGGGAGAACACAAGATACTACTGACACTAACCTGACAGGCTCAAATGGCTTGGGTTCTGGTTGTGGTCGACTGTTGAACTGTTTAATGATTTCCCTGATGTTGGAGGTTGGTTCAGGCTGGACCTTTGTGACCGGACTGAGAGTAGGTTCTTTAGGGGGGTCTGGTTCCTCATTTGGAGGGCTGGGAGGATGCCTTACTGTGGGAGATAAGAAAAAAATATTAACATCATGACACAAACACTTCTAAAAACATTGTTAAAACATAGCAGAGGCTGTAAGCTGCTGGAAACCTGACGTATTTTGAACTCCATATTTTACTTTTGAGGGTGTTTCTACCTTTCAGTAATGTAAACGCCAAATAGAGGTAAAAAATTATATTATAAAGGCCTTCTACCAAGGCTTTCAAATTCTCCAAATCCTTCGATGCAGATTTCTTTTCATTTGAGCAACTCATGTCCTTCACCTTGCAGTAATGTTAATGTTTTGTAGTGGCCCAGCCAAAGCTCAAACTTTAGTCTAATAGAGAATCCATTAAATTGTGAGGGATCTGAAATGTTCTCTGTGTGGTTAGTATTTTCTCCCAGGTTCCAGCAGAGGGCTTTCGCACACCTGCAGGTCAGCAGTGATCAACAGCAGTACAAGAATTTGCTGCCACTCTTTCATCCCTTGAGTGTTGAGCCTTGTGGTAAAAGCCTCCTGCATTTCCTAGTGACTTTGTTGACTTCTTGTGAAACATTGGCTGACTTTCAGTTCCACTTTTGCATTCCCTCGCAATATGCTTACTGCAATATTTGCTGGTCTATTTAAATGTCAATTTAAAATTTCAAATGTAAACACATTTAAAGAAACTCTGTGATTATTCTTGACTCTTTGGTGCAAAAAACTGATTGATAATCAATTTATTCACTGAATGTCTGTTTGTATAAGGTTGCAACGGAACTGCACATGAAAACAACCCTTTAAACCATTCAGACTACCAACACAAAAAATACACAATCAGAACTGTCAGATAACTTATTACACCACGATAACAAGTCAGAAATAATCCAAATAGTTTGGATGTATTTTTTCTTCTTTCCTTCTTACGGAAAGTTTCTGTTTATATCAAAGAAAAATATTTAAAATTTCAGATATTTCACAAGATATTAGAATACATGGAAAAAATCTCACGAAAGCCTTATATTATAGCAGGAAGTACAATAACCACCATGAAAAAGGCTTACAGTATTCAATTATGCCGCATAAACTGATCAGTACATTATTGTGAGAGAACGCAAAACCTTTTGCGAGGTAACCCAAAAGAAAAAAAATTCTCCATGTCCCGTAGGGGGCTCCATAGAGAATAGACCTCTTTTAAGACAGAAAAAATATTTTCCTGCAATGTACAATCTAATTTAAATCTGAAACTTCACCTATATTTCAGTTACATCGAGGCATCAGGCAGGGCTGTCCTGTTTCTCCATATCTCTTCCTCCTAGATGGCCATCTCCTTTCAACCCATCTTAGAGCAAGTCCCGTACAAGGTATCGACGTAGCAAACAGGAATAAATTTTTTAAATTTTTTTTTTGGGTAACTCTGAACAAGTTCTCCCAGCCCTTGATACTATTCAGATCTTGTCTAGAGCCTCTGGTTTATATCTAAGTGTCAATAAATGTGAACTTTTTGCTATTAAAGATAGTGTTCTGTCCTCTATAAGCAACATAGCAATTAAGCAGATTGTTGTATACTTAGGAATCACCATCACCAAAAATGATAAAAGTAAATGTGTTGAAAACATTTCTCCTGTTATTAACAGAACCAGAAAAAAGTTGAACCTCTGGCTGCACAGAGATCTAACTCTGAGGGGAAGGACTCTGCTCTCTAAGGCAGAAGGCCTCGCTAGTTTATTTGGCCTCTTCTCTCTTTGTAGACAACAGCACCTGTAAAAGTATAGATTGGACGGACGGACGGACGGACGGACGGACATGTATAGTTAGGCATGAGGACATATTTATATAAATGTATACATAGATAGTATGAATTAGACCATCAAGAACCACACTCCATACCAGTAAGTGGAGGTAATGCTATGAAAAGTTTGCTGCCAACCACCAATAAAACCGAGAAGAAGAAGAAGAAGAAGGAGAAAAAGAAAGTTCATCTCGTTCTCGTTTCAGCTGAAGGTAAAACCTAAAGTATAGTATAAGCTCAATTTATTCATGATTAAAGTTAATATTACTGAGGTTAAAGCATGGAAAATATGCCTTAGTCTGCTTGTCTTATCTGTTGACAGGTCAATTTTTTTTTTGCATGCTGGATTGTTCCTGAAGTGGATTCCTCTTATGAGTTTGATGGTGAGCCCTCCCACCTGGACTTAGAGAAAAAGAACTGGATTGCCTTCTTTTCCATTTGGAGTTCTGCGGCACCTTGTGGTGCAGTAGGCCTGTATCACTCACATCTTCACACACAGTTGGTTATATGTAAGACCACTGACTGACATTTTTCACTCCTATTGTTACACCCCAAGAATTTTGGACAGGACCATTTGGATAAGTTTTATTTGGGACATATTAACAAACTGCTGTGTATGAAATTCTCCTCATGTGAATGGTTTTTCAGTTGAACCTGAATTGAACTGAATTTGATTAATCTGTATTTCTATCACGGTCTAGAATTCAGGTTATCAGGATGCACTCAAAAAATTTAAAACTGAGAACTAGCACTTGTCCAAGTGTAATTGCTATTTTATGTATTTCATTGTGTGTAATTTTATTTTTAGAATTCTGAGTCTTGTACAACTTTTCGTTAATCTTATGGTGTAATTCACTAAAGCCAGTTTGTTCTTTAAATTCATTTAATTATCTTTGTGTCTCATTTAAACACCCCACTGTGCTCAGATAACTAAACCTATTGTCCCATTGATTTAATATATTTAATAATCTTCACTACTGTGTTACACAGTGTTCATTTTTATTTGTTAGTTGTACTACTTGATTTAGTGCTGCTAAAATAAATGAGGGTTACCTACTCACTAATCTTAAGCTTACTGTCAGGACTCTAGGTTTTTGGGTTTGGTTTTGCTTTTGCATCTTATTTATCATTATCCGTTAGTTACCTTACGTTCTGTTATTCTTGTATGCCTGAATCTAAGTCTAGCTTTCTTTAGTGATTATAGTTAGATTATTTTTTATTAAATTCCTCTAGTTATTCCTTATTTCAGCCTCCCTGTAGTGTTTTTAGTAATGTTTATTTCTTAGTTATTTCATCACTGAGTTATTCTTACATCTGAGTTTAGGTATATCTTTCTTTAGTAATCCTAGTTAGCTTATTTCTTAAGTCCTTCTAGCTCCCCCTTGCAGTATTTCTAGTTTTCTTATTTTGTCACTTTAGGTTTAGTCTTTTTGTCTGCATTCATGCCCATCTTCCTTTAATAATTCTAGTTAGGTTATTTCTTTGTTTAGTCCCTCACTACAGCTATAAGTTCCTTAGTTCTTATTACTGTTAGATCAGCCTGGTTTCTGTTTAGGTTCGTTTGTTTTTCCCTCATGTCTTTTTCTCTTCTAGTTTATCAGGTTTTCTTTAGTCTTAGTGTTTCTTTAGTATTAGAAGTATTTTCAGCTCCCTATGTTTCCTCCCTTTGTTTTCTGCCAGCATATCTCCTTAGCTTCTCCCCGCCCCTCAGCTACCTCCTGTGCTAACTACTCACACCTGCAATCAGTCATCTCATCTAGTTAGGTTCATTGTTCCACTTACTACCTCCCAGTATTTAAGCTCCTCTATCCCAGCCATAACTCACCAGTCTGTCTTGTTACCCTGCTTGTCTCTATGCTCTTCACTTCCCCTGTGCTCCTTAGAATCTCCTTGTGTCACATTTTGGATTTGAATTGGATTGTTTTGTGTTTTGCGTTCCGCGTTCCCTTGTTTTTTGTAAGTTGAACTCTGATTTTGTTAATTAAATTTTCAAGACTATACTACATGTTTACCTGCTGCTTTTGGGTCTGCCACACCACATTATGACACTTACTTTCCTTAATTTTGTGAGGCAATAAGTTTGCATAATTCTTTTAAGTAAGGTGAACTAATTAGATTGTACAGTGTACCAGGAGCTATCCTCTTCAAATATCTACACCACTTACATTGAGAACTCAAAATATCTTAAAATGTCCCACATTTATAATTTCCTTACCATTAGGCTTTGGTGGTGGAGGTGGAGGTGGAGGTGGGGGTGAGGGTGAGGGGCTTGGTGAAGGACGTGTCTGCTGATTTTGTCTGGGTGGATCAGGTGGAGCTGATTGTCGCTTTGAGTTTCTTTTTTCCCGTTTTGATTTACCACCTAGAGGGGGCAAAAGAAAAAACGTATTCACCTTGACACTCAGTGAATAACTTAAAACAGCCTGAAAAAAGGTTATTTAAGTCTATTCACCAATATTTTGGAAGAAATCCCTCTTTTCTCTGAAAGATTGTAGGTCATCTGGCTCTGCCAGCTCCACATTTTCTTCTGGCTATGAAAGCAAATGGACAGGATGGTGTCACTTTACAACTGAATAATTAATAGTTTCATGGGTCATTATTTTTAGTCACAAGGAAAAAGATCAAAGCATATTAAAAATAAAATGTAAAATAAAGTTTTTATCTTTTTTCTCGGCATGAGTAGCTGCTTCCAAAACGACTTCATTTAATTAAAATGTATATTGTTGCATTGACGGATTCTCTCACTTTCCATATTCTGTTGTTATAAGCACCTTTAAAGTAACTACAAAATCTCTAGCATAACCTGTTTGACAAGAATGTCTATAAATGGATAGTCCACAATTTTACTGTGGATCTTTTAATTAACTTGTCAAGATGGATGCAGAAAAATACAAAGAGGAAAAAGGATCAGTTAGAAATACCTCAGATTCAGATTGCTTGGAGGCTTGTTTACGTGCAGATGCTTTGGGCTTTGACCGTCGGGGTGAGGGACTTCGAGAAGGTGAGTGCTGGCGTTCTCTGGAGCGGCGTGATGACTCGCGTCTAAACTGTCTATCTTTCTCATCTCTTTGTTTCTCCTTCTTAGCTTGCTGTTCCTTCTTCTGCCGTTCTTCAGCCTGCTGCTGAGACAAAGTCATTGCCTGCAAGGTCATCTGCTGGGCCTGAAATGAAAAGATTGACAATCCAATCCAAGAACATACAGCAAATAAATTATAGTTTAGCTTGATTAAAAAACTTTGATGGAAGTAACCATGAGTAAGGCCTGTTGGTTGATGAGAGCTTGCTGAGTTGCTGCCATCTGCATGGGGTCACTCACAGTGGGAGCCTGAGGCACCATTAAAGCTGTGAAGGAATAACTTTCATTAATCAATCAATCAAATGTTATTTGTATGGCACATTTCAGCAGCAAGGCATTTCAAGGTGCTTTACATAATTAAAAAACAAAATAAAAACAGCATGTGACATTGAATAAACAGTAAGAAAGAGAAAGAGATTTTAGCAAGGGGATACATATTACAACCAGGGGTAAAAGTAGTTTTAAATTCTTGGGGGTACTATGACAAAAAATAAATAAATAAATAAATAAATAAATAAATAAATATATATATATATATATATATATATATATATATATATATATATATATATATATATATATATATATATATATATATATATTTACATATATATTGCTTCTTTGTGTGCTTTGGAGTTTCTGTGCTGATTAATTTCTTTGCAAAGCAATAAAAGCTGGTAGCTTTTGAATTGCTACAAAATAAAGCTGTATTTCCTCCCTCAGCCCTCTGGCTGCAATGTTGACACTTTGAGATGCCGTGAGACCTAAATCCTGAACATCATGGCATGGAGTCATCCCAGTTTTCCATGTCTGGCATATAACCATTCATTTTAGCTTTTAAACTGGTTTTATTGATCCTGTGTCCAGACAGGGATAATCAGTAGCCCAGCATCATGACCTGTTTGTTCTGAAGATCCTGCAGCTTCCACTTCTCTTCCTAACATGGCGCCTCCTCACCCTGACTCTCATACTGACAGGAGGAACCACAGAGCTCTGTTAGGTTAAAGCTCATCTTCTGAAGTTGGGATATTTTTCCTCCAACAGGTTCCAGAGGAATCGCCTCAAACCAGATGTTGGACTGGATTTTATTTCAATGTCATTTGTGAATGTTAGAACCAGATTTTAGGACAGACGGAAAGTTATGGCTCCCCTGAGTCGGCCCTGGAAGGCTGGCTTTTTCAAATTCTGCTGGATGATATATAAACAAGATGCTCTTTCCCACCATCCGCTTCCTCACCCCATGACATCTCTGTAGCTGTGGCAGACTGCACTCAAGGTCAACTGATAAACTCCACCACATATCAGAGACAATGGTTGGGGTCAGCTGTCTGGTTCAGGGACTAACGCTTCCTTCACTCTCACACTGACTTTCATTCTTCATGGTTAGAAACACATAACCCTCAAACTCACCACCTTCGCTGGCTCCACTTCTGTATCAACATGTTGCTTTTTTTTCTTTTTTTACACAGGTTTTTTTTTTGCAACCTCACACTCTGCCCTTACTGTGGAGACAGAGGTGCAAGTTATGAGTTTCTTTCTTCTCAACAAACCTCATAGTTTTATTTTTCTGATCTAATTAAAAGGATAGCACCTCTATGACTGCAGCTCCAGTCTTATTTCTGTAATATTTGTTTGTGTGTTGTTCTTTGGATGGGTTGTACTAGAATGTAAATTTCCAGAGGGAAATTCACATTCCCTCTGGGATTAATAAAGTATATTTAATTCAATTCAGTTCAAATATAGAACAGGATTACCTGGCATATTTGGCATCACGGCAGTTGGACCATAACTGGGAATTGCAGGGTTTACTGGTGCAACTAAAACATAATGTGCATTAATATAGAGAGTTAGGGAGAAAACAAAGATCTTTTCAGACATTTTATTTGAATAAAGTTCATACCATGAGAAAAGACTAATCTGCAGGGAAAAATTAATATTCCTATAAAAAATAACATCCTGCTTTTAAGTTTTCCTGTGATACAGAAGGTAGATGACAATTAAATGTAACAAAACAAGTGACAATCACAATTGAGACACAATCAGGGCATATTAATGCATTTTCAGCCACATAGTACTGTGTCTTCCCTTTTGTCTAGTGTTATGCATGTTGTTTGTAAAGCAGTAAGCAGAGCTGTTAAGTTAATCTCGTGCTGCTAAAAATGCTGTGCAATGACAATAATTCTAATCTAATCTCTAGTCCAATCATTGTGAGTCTACTAGCACCAATTGGCCAATTTGATATTTTATGACCAATTGGCTGTTAAACTAGGTTAGTCACTTTAAATGGGATGAATATTTATGCAATGAGTTATTCTATGTTAAATGCATACAAAAATTGTCATTTTGCAAAAAACAGTTTTCAATTTGATATAGGATTTTTTTATCCTTTTGTCAAAAAGCTAAAGTTTGTTGGTCATGATTGATTTTTACAAGCAATAAAACATGTTAAATGTCTAAGAGGATGAATACTTTTTAGTAACTATATTGACAGTTCTTGCAGAACTTGGTCTGCTGCTGCTATCAGTGAATCAATCAGGTTTACTTGTATAGCACATTTCAGCAACCAGGCAGTTCTTTACACCATAAAAACACAAAAATATAAAGTCATAAAAAACATCAACATTAGTTTCTTACCCAATTAGAAACCAGTAACAATCATTAGATTTTGTCATTGCCATCATCAAATTCATCAACGCACATCAAATATGTTTAATGTTCCAGTAATTATGGGTCGAAATCAATTTTAAACAGGTGGGTTTTTAGTCTGAGATTAAAGGAACTCAGTGTTTCAGTTGTTTTGCAGTTTTCTGGAAGTTTGTTCCAGATTTGTGGTGCATAGAAGTTGAATGCTGCTTCTCCATGTGTGGTTCTGGTTCTGGGGATGCAGAGCAAAACCTGAACCAGAAGACCTGAGAGGTCTGGAAGGTTGATATTGTGGTTTTAAGCCATTCAGTGACTTATAAATTACCAACAGTATTTCAAAGTCTATTCTCTCAGTGTAAGGATTTTAGAACTGGGTGATATGCTCTAACTTCCTGGTTTTAGCTTCCAGGATTTTTAGGTCTGCCCAAAAATCCTGGATTTTCAAAAATCCTTGATTACTGCAACAGAAGACACTGTTGCAGCAATCGATGTGACTAAAAATAAATGAATGGATAAGTTTCTCTAGATCTGGTTTATACATTAGTTCTCTAATCATGCACATGTTCTTCATGTGATAGAAGCCTGGCTTTGTAAACTGTTATGTGTCTCTGAAGGTTCAGGTCAGAGTCCATCACGATAACCACATTTTGGGCCTGATCTCTAGCTTCTAGCTGTAATAACTGAAGCTGTGCATTGACTCTAGTTTGCTCCTCTTTAGGTCCAAATATAATAACTTGAGTTTTGTTTCTGTTCAGCTGGAGAAAGTTTTGGCACATACACACATTTATCTGTTCAAAGCACCAGTTCAGTGCTTGGATGGTTTCAGAGTCACCTGGTGACGTTGTAATGTAGAGCTGTGTAACATCCACGTAATTATGGTAACAAATCTTATTTCCTGTAATAACCTCAGCTAATAAGAGTTTATAAAGTAGATATTGAGTAAGAGGGGCCCTAGAATTGAACCTTGGGGTACTTTACATGTCTGCTTCAATGAGAAGTTACCTACTGAAACAAAGAAATCCCTATTCTTTCTGTAAGATTTGAACCAGAACCACAACCTGAACCGGAGAGTCCTACCCAACTCTCCAGCTGTTTTAGTATTAAATCATGATCAACAGTGTCAAAAGCCGCACTGAGGTCCAACAGAACCAACACTGTGGTTGTTCCACAATCTGTGGATGTCATTGAACATTTTAATCTGGGTAGACTCACTACTATGGTAACCATAGAGACCAAACTGAAAGACATCAAAGTGTTTGGCCATCTTTAGAAAGAAATTTAACTGATTAAACTGCTTTTTCAAAAATATTGCTGATGAATAGATGGTTGGAGATTGTCCTGTAATTCCTGCAATAGTGATTTGTCCAGATTGTTCTTTTTTTATTAGTGGCTTGATAACTGGTGGTTTTAAAGCCTGGGGGAAAACACCTGATGAGAGGGATGAGCTTACTATTAAAATCAGATCAGATGCAATGACAGGCAGGACTTTCTTAAGGAAAGCTGTGGGTATGATGTCATGACAGCAAGAAGAGGAGCTTAGTTGATTTATAAGTTCTTCAAAGCTTTTATAGTTGAGTACCTGAAATTTTGTCATTTTCTTTGCATTTGATATACTTGGGCATAGCATTGATAGTTGATTTGATATGGGGAATGTTTTGGCGAAGCCTCCTAACACAAAATCAAGAAGGTCTGCCTCAGGTCTTGAGCTCAGAATATACACATCTCTTCCTCACCAAAAATGTCTCTGCCCCTAGAAAATTCAGATCATCATAGGACATAATCTGAATATATGGAAACTCATTTCTGCCACTCGAATGAAAAAAAAACAAACAAACAAAAAAAAACCTTGTATCTCATTATTGACTAAACTATTTCATAATAATTGTATAGTAATCTTATAAATATGACTTAGCCATCCTAAATAATACCATATTGTAATGGTGCAGTGCAAGGTTGCAGAGCAAGTTAGCGAGTTAACTTCTTTGACTTGAAGTAGTACTATACAAGGCGCCCTTTTGTGATGCTACCTAATTACAAAACCAAGAGTTACTTAAAATAATAGTCTTATTTTTCACTGCCAAAGCTGATTCTTTTGCAGTCTTATTGACGGGAGATTCTTCCAAATCTCGCAAAATTACAAGAATCAAAGCTATTTCTGATGTAATGTTCAATGGTGTTAGAAACAGCCATTTCTTTCTATCAAGCCTAACTTGCCTCATCCTCAGAATGTCAGGGAGCCAATTAAAGTTATCTCACAATAATTACATAGCTCATTATTATGACTTAGCTATCTCATCTCATAATGAGATACGAGTTGTTTTTTCTTTCCTCAGAGTGCTGGAATGGGATTTCATACCAACAAGTAGATCCTACGTACTGTACATGTGCCAAAGTTATGAAAGCGGATTGAACTTTAGTTATCCTTATGTGATCCTATGTGGTATTATATTATTCAAAATAGGAATAACTGTCACATGATCTTTTCCTAATCCCTGTGGACCCCTGTTTATTTTTAGTGTTTTTAACATTTCTGGTCATATCTCAGCTAGTTTGTAATATACTGAACACTAACCAGCACTTAAAGCTTACAGTACATCCTCATCCATCCACATCCAGCTCCTGTTTGTTTAGTCGCACATTTACAGGCAGTCTCCAGAGGTTGAATCAAAATTTAAAAGGTGTTTTAGTTATAAAAAAAAATAACAGCTTAATGCTTATTAAACCGTAGAAAAGAAATGGTTTAAACGTATGAATCTGAAAGTGTGAAATTTTTGAATATTAAACTGTCCAATCAGCAATATGCATATCCTTCTAATATTTATTCCACAATTTCAACTAAAAATATTGCTATGCTTGCTAAACCTTGTCAATGTTGTTACATTTTACTTCCTTATTTTTTTACTTTACTTTCTGAGAGGAATAACATAATAATACTCCAGTTTGTATTCTATTTTATATCTTGTTTATTTTGAAAGTTTAATGGTAAACTTTTTCCTTTCTGAATAGATGTGTCTATGTTTTGGTGTTTGGCGAAGACTTTGAGCTCATCAGCAAAGTACCAGTGGAAACGTGCAGAAAAACAGTCATCATTTTAAGAAGTGCTATGATAAGAAATCCATTGACAATTGTGTTTTACCAAAAAATATCATCCAGGAATTTATTTATGAGCCTGCAGAACAAAGAAAACAGTCTATGAAAGATGTGTGAAATTTAATCAAGGGCTTGCTGCTAGTTTGGTCCTATTAAAGATCAGTTTATGGTTCTAATTTTATGCATAATCTGTGATGGAGCTGGATGTTGTGGCCGTATACTTCAGAAAAACTTTGAGTCAACAGTGTAAAACATCCTTGACAATTATCCATGATACTGTATTGACATAATGGGTAAAATATAATTCCTTCAGAGAGCAATATCATCCTAATCACTTACCCATGGGATAGGTTGGCATTGTCATAGGCATCCCTGAAAAACAAAGTATCCATTTCTAATTTAGCAACATTTATCTCAAACTCATTGTAAAATAACTACAATTCTCTTAATGAAAAGTCCATTTTCAAGGATGAATTCTATTAGTTAATTGATCAATCCTCAATCTGGGTCCTCACTCTGATTTTCTAATCTTCATTTTTTTAGTTTGCCTATCTTGACTATATAGTTTAAAAGCTGCTCTGTCAATAAATCAAGCTTATATTTGTGGCCAAGAAAGTTTTATCAGTTTTAATTCCAAATTTAATCTTAAATAATACAACACATTTATGATGTAAAGTAATCTTTCATGCAAACTCACTCATTTGAGTAAGCATACATTCAGACATGCCTAAAATATGATGCAGATGATCTGTACGATGCTTAATTACAAAAAAATACTTTACCAACTCCAAACATCCCAGGCTGCATAGGTCCAATTCCCCCTTTTCCTCTCATCCTGCGGTTTAACATGGCTACTCTGTCCATTTCCTACACATGAACACATTCAGTTTAATGTTTTAATGTTAAAGTTGTAACAGGGTGGAAACTCTAAAAAAAAAAAATCACAAATAAGGAGGAACATTGTGGCAGGGAAACCTAAATAATACAAAGATTTGACATGTAGCAGGACTGAGTGAGCTTGTACCACAATAAGCACACAATAAGCTTGCCTTCAGCTAATTAGGAAGAAAGAGTGAAGACGTAACTAACCGCAGGTCCTTGGTCTAGTACAGAGTCAAACAAGTCATCAACATACGTCTCCATCTGTCTGCTCCGCCCTGCAGACAGATAGGAATATAAATTAGAAAGCGTCAGACAGAATCAGAAACATTATTTTGATTTATTTTTTGTAGTATATTGCTTAATTAGATTTGTTTAGATGTTTGGACCACACTGCCCTGTTGAAACCTACTGTTAACGTGTTCTGGTTAATTCAGATGTAAGTACAATACGTAACAATATGTAACAAGTTTCCTCCTGCTATAGGGTCGTTTTCCTTTTTACTGTCAATACATACATATTTGTATGGAGGACTACATAAGAGCAAATGCAACTGATTGTTCAATGTTGCAAATGTACATTCAGTGATGGTAACTGGTGTAAAGCCAGCTGGGTTTCTTTTAGAAAACTGTTTACCAATTTGAATAATAAACTGAACTTTACGCCACTGTTTTAATGGTATGTATTAAACTGGAATGTATGCAAATGACTTTGGATCTGTCCAAAAGATTGGACCAAATTGACCAGTAAACTGTTTTTAGTGACTGTATTTTAATTCTGATCTCTTTAAAGTCATACAGATATATTTATTTTCAGTTCAATTCAGTGCATTTCATTTACATATCACCAAATAACAACAAATATCATCTCAAGGTACTATGCATCTATCTTTCTGTCTGCCTATCCGTCCATAGGAAGCACATGAACCGGCCTGTTCTAGATTTCTAAGTGAACATCTAAATTAATCAGACTACTTTGAAAAGCCTATGGAATAATATTCAAATGTTTGATTCAGGATGTATGGTTTGTATTTTACTAAATTCTAAAGAGATGCACATTGAATCCTTATTTTGAAGAAAGTAAAGCAAACCCAAATAAACATACTTTTTTCTACAATTATTCAGCCATTTAATAAAAATAAATTTAGGTATTCTTTGATCTAAAAAGGACAAGTTTAGACTATAGAGTAGCGGTTCTTAAAGTGGGCGGTACCGCCCACCGGGGGGCGTTCAGAGGACGGCAGGGGGCGTTGGCGGAAATTTTTACAAAAGGGGCGCTGGGGTTCCTTTGGGGCGCGTTTGGTCGAAGGTCAACTTTACACCTTATATGAACAACAATACAAGTTTAGACTTTGAGCAACTTGCTAAAACTGTATTGTGTAACATTAAAACATGCTGCAACTGTATCGATGGCAGCTCTTCTTCTTCCATTCAGTGTTTGTTAGCTTCTTGGCGCAGCTCCTCTCCTGCTTCTAGTAGCTTCACCACATCAGTTCAGCGTTACACCGGCTGATGACGTTGCTGTGATTCACTTTGTCTTGTATTTTTGTACATATGTTTCGGCAG